AGTGTTGTCATGGTAACTTGGATTGTGATGCTCAGCTCTGATCGTGTCTCATCGAAAACTAAAATCATTCTCAAAGAAACAAAAATCTCCTGTCTCTGTAACATCAGAAATAATTAGATATTAAATAATTGTAAAATTGTATTAATGAGCAGAAGCTTAGGTCTTAATTATTATTATTATTCTTAAAGTAGACGACAGTTAAACGACAATAAATAAACAGGAAACAGATGTACACCGGGAACAAGGACATTTCCTCCAACAGAGAAATCCATAACAACATCTACGTCTCCATGACGACTCCATCTGCTGATGAAGCCTGTGTGATGTGACTGAAATCTCCTAAAGGGACCTCGAGGTGAGAACGCTTTGTCAACTAGGACAGAATTTACTTCCTGAGGCGTCGCTAGGTGGTTGCTATGAGGAAGATGGATCGAATTATTCGACAAATTGATTTCTCATCCATGTTGGAAACTGTTTGATAATCAATATAATTGATCTGGTATCAACTCCAGACCAGTGTTATCAGGTAGTTGTTTGTGGTTCACTGAAGGAAGCTGGACAGAGGTCAGGTGATTAAAGAGGGTTTATATCTGGTTGCTAAGGAGTTGCTATGGAGTTACTACAGTTTTCTGTTGTAAATGAAAAAGAAATAAAATATAAAATAATATAAAATATATAAAATTTTACACACACACACACACACACACACAGCTGTTTAAACCCTGTCAATCAATAAAGATAAAGATGAACTGGTTGCAGGTTCATGTCTGTCACAGTCACTTGTCCTGCCACAGAGCTGCTGAGCAAGGCACCACCTCCCTGCTCAGGTGCTGTGATGTCTCTGTTGTCAGGTGTATTGAGGTGTGTGATTTACCTGCACATGATCTCGTGGGTGAGGAGGACACGGCACATCTCCGGGTTCTTGTCCTGACCTTCGTACAGGATCGGCTGGAGAGACAGAGACAGGTGAGAGGATGATGAGTTCACTGACTCACAAAACAAGTGAGAGGATGATGAGTTCACTGACTCACAGCAGCTTCATGTTTTCACAGCTCAGTTTACTGCATCTATAAACCAGTTTACTGCATCTATAAACCAGTTTGATACACAAATAAACCAGTTCACTGCATCTATAAACCAGTTTACTGCATCTATAAACCAGTTTGATACACAAATAAACCAGTTCACTGCATCTATAAACCAGTTTACTGCATCTATAAACCAGTTTGATACACAAATAAACCAGTTTACTGCATCTATAAACCAGTTTACTGCATCTATAAACCAGTTTGATACACAAATAAACCAGTTTACTGCATCTATAAACCAGTTAGATACACAAATAAACCAGTTTACTGCATCTATAAACCAGTTTACTGCATCTATAAACCAGTTTGATACACAAATAAACCAGTAATGTAAACCAGCTCAACCTTCAGAAAAACCAGTTTACAGTGAACTGGTTTCTCTGTCGTGTGTGAATCAGGTTGCAGTTTATGGCTCATTAAAACAGTTTCCACCAGTCAGCTGTAACTGGGAACCAGTCGACCCAGTTGTGTTGCTGTTAACCAGGTTGATTGATGAACCTGAGCTAACGAGGCAGCTGATTCACTGATGTCTACAAGTGCTGCTTTTATTTTGTCAAACACGGCCTCCAACGACTTCCTGCACTGCTCTGACACCCCACCACCACCTCCCACCACCTCCCCTCTTGGTGGTCTCAGCCTCCTCAGGCCTTCCCAGAATTCCCTGCCAGATGGCGGGCCGCGCCCCAGGATGAAGCCCCCCCCTCTTCTCCCTCCCAACCTTCCCCCCTCCTCTCCTCACCCCCACCGAGCTGTCATGTCAGCGTCCGGATGACGGATGACCGCTGAGAGGAGGGAGGTGTGTGTGTGTGTGTGTGTGGTTTTTGTAATACCCTGGTGGTTGTAAATGAACTCCAGTAAGAGCATGTGCGTGTGCGTCCTCCCCCCTCTTTTCCTGCGATGACCTACCACTACCTCATCCACCTTTATAGTCAAAACAGACCTCCGCCCTGCGCACACAGACACACACACACACAGACAGACACACACACACACACACATACACACACACACACACCTGGGGGACAATACTTTTAGGATAACGACCACTTCTGCATTATTGATCCTGATCCTGGCTCTGTTCCTCTGGATTAAAACGCTCCAGTTTGACCAGGAGGGATGTGGATTGCATCAGGGACACACAACTACACACACACACACACACACACACACACACACACACACCACCCCTCCCCCCATGTGTAGATTTGATGGTCAATATTTATACATCATCATTCCTGATGCAACAATGTGTTTGTGTGTGTGTGTGTGTGTGTGTGTGTGTGTGTGTGTGTCCACTTTCACGCTTACTTGTGGGTTAATGTTCACAATCTGCTGTGAGTGTGTGTGTCTCTGTATCTTTGTGAGGACCGGCTCTGACGAGATATTTGGGGAATTTTTCGAAACCCAAGGAAACATATTTGGAAAATGATTTTTTGGAAAGTGAAGAGTCTTTTAGAGGACAGTGGAAATTTAAGAAAAGAAAAGAGAGGAGAGTTTTTGAAGGAGAGGATTTGTTGTTCTCACAGTGAGAATGGGTGTCGTTAGGTTTGTAACGGTTCCACTACTTTTATCGACACCACTTATCGATCCGGTTCTTTATCGGTACTTTTTGTTATTTTGTAAGAGAAAAAAAACCCAAAACAAACAAATTAAGAACAGAATTAACAGTGTTTTATTTTCTCATACGTACTCAACTAACGTTAACATTATCAATACTCCGTTTAATATCGGGTTTCTGTGCCATCCCTATTTCTCAGAGAGGACGTTTAAGAGAGCAGGCGTCCTGGACAGAGAGCGGGTTTTTAAAAAGTGAGGACGTTCATCTCGTCTTCTCGTCTTCAAAGGTTGTGAGAGGATGTTGTTTAGTCGTCAGGACTTAGTGACGGTGAGGAGGGTCCTCAGAAGAAGAGAGAACAAACACAGAGTCATGTGTCAGTATTAGAGATGTAGAAAAGAAATATTTTTCTCTTCCTTCAGTGAATTTAAACTTATCAATATATCAAGACTCAGTTTGTTAGACTGTTATGTGTTTGTGTTTTATTTAATTTTTTAATGTGTTGAAAGATCAGATGTAGATGAAACTGTCAAGATGCTTTTTCTCTAAATTTCTCTGTTTTCCTCTCAGGTGTCTCACTGAGTCGTCACCGTCTCTCTGATCAAACTGTGTTAAAGTTGATCAGTCTGATCTGTGTGAGTCCTCCTCCTCCTCCTCCTCCTCCTCCTCCTCCTCACAGGCCCACAGAGCGGGGCCCCTAACGGGCCCTCAACAGGGTCTCATCGATCCGCGGGGCCTCCAGTCAACCTGTCTGTCAGGTCTGACTGTCGACCAATCAGGTGTCATGTAGTGGGAGGTGAAGGTTGATGGGTGTGTGTGTGTGTGTGTGTGTGTGTGTGTGGGGGGGGGTCATGGAGGAGGAGGTGTCAGGATTATTGTCTCCAGTGTGCCGTCGCTGTGCCACATTAGGGCCTATTGATCGGTTTCCACGGCTGACGCTTTGTCGGGGAGCCGCTTGGTACATCGATCGGTGACATGCCGAACCAGCGGAGGGAGGGGGTGATACGACTGAGGGAGGGGGGGACATGACTGGGGGGGTTATTAATAAGTAGGAGGTGGAGGATGAAGGTGAAGCAGGTTTGAGTTTCAGGGTCAGTGAGTGAGTTGATCTGAGGACAGTTTCACTGGTTCAGGCTGCGTTCAATATTAACATGGATCCATCTCACAGTCAACACCTGTTTAAAACCTGTGTCACAGTCAGTCGCATTATATCACATTTTATATATAGATATATTTTGTGTAGAGAATTACAGCTGAAACAGTTTGTCAATTAATCAATTAGTTGATCAAAGGAAAATTCATTGGCAACTATTATGAAAAGTGATCGATTGTTCAAACAGATGTTCCCGCTTCCTCGTCTTCTGTGAATGAAACTTCTCGACATTTGATGACATCATCTTGTGATGGTTATTTATTATTGTTTGCAGATTAATTGATCATGAAAATAATGATAATATTAATTTAAGATTAAACTCAGGTTCAGCAGCAGAAAATAAATTTTACTGATAATGATCTTAATGATTAATATAATTCACTGTTGTTAAATAAAACCTTCTCACCTTAAATAATGTTTTCTTTTCATTAGAATTAGCTTCTTCCTGTCATTAGCTTAGCATCATCGATATGTGAAAGTCTGTCTGTGGAGCTGCAACATCAGACAAGTTTTATAATTCAATATGGATCATGTCAAAATGTAAGATATTTCCTAATGAAGAAGTCACTCTGCTGACACAGTGACCTCGTTACATCGTGTTGTTTACATCAGTTCTCACACTCACTGACAGTTTTTACTCCTGAAGCTTCAGACTGAGAGAAAAGATCTTCAGTCTCTGAGCAGCTTCATGATCAGAGTGAGGAAAGGAGCTTCACTGCTTCCTCTCTCATCTCCTTTAGGAAACACTGGAGCTTCCTTTACCAAAGGAAAGGAGACATGCCGTCCCACAATGCCTTGCTGCAGCAACATTTAAAACCACAGCAGAGCCACATAAATGTAGAAACATCAGAGCAGCTGTTTCTGTCTGATGGACTGAAGCTCAGATCCATAAATACAGATTCATTCTCTTTCATCAGTCAGGAGTCGCCATGAAGAACGAGCTGATGAATCTATAGTTACATCATCATCATCATCATCATCATCACAACTAAACACTATAGTCTATACATTAATGTTGCACTGAATCCTCCCATTGTGGAAAGACATAAACATGAATTTGATCTATTTAACAATTATATAGAAACATCAGGAAACTATAAACTTCTGTCTGAATATCATTTATTCTCAGTTCATTATTTCCATTTATTATTTTAATGACTCAACTTTCTCTGTTTGTCTTTTTCTTTCATGTTTTCTTATTTCAACATTTCATCCTGTTTGATTGTCGTCCAGATGTTTTAAATAAAGTTAATTAAAAAAACAGTTTAGTGAGTTTGATTCAGATTGTTTCTCCTTCACGTCTTTGACCTCATGAGGTCGAGGAGACGAGGTCAGAGGAGGTTATTCTGACTCTTCCACCTCAGAATGAACTGAACTTGAACAGATGTGTTTCTCTGCTCCACCTCCATCCTGTTTAACAAGTATCCAAACACATCCATAATCCATCACATGTATTGATTATCCTGATCAGTCAACTGTTCAGTTAGCCCAATTAATACATTCATTTGTTCCCAGGATCGATGGACCTGATCCGTCTGCTGTTCACAGATCACTGATCATGGATCCAGTCTCTGATTCTGACTTTTAAACTTCAGCAGGTTTTTGTTTTTTAATCTATGTTTGTTTTTTTCTCTTTAAATAAACAACAAATGATGACATCACTTCAGTCTAATGTGAAGAAAAATAACCGTAATATTTAAACATCTGCTTTGAGATAAACATGTTTCAGTGACAGTGAAGAGAGTCAACGATTAAACTGATTCTTTTTGAACCTGTGATACTGAACTTTAAATAAAATAACAAGGAAATAATAATAAAGAATAAAACAGAAGTTTTAGGATAAAATCAGTTTGGGTATTTTTACCTTAAATTTCTAATTTGTGAACTCAATAAACTGGTTTTGTTTCCTCACTGCTGCAGATTAAAGCTCCATATTTTACACAGTGTTGATCCATCAGAAGATATAAAACCATCTCAGTGTAGTTTTACATCTCCTCTCTCAGGCTTCTCTCTGCAGCTCTAGTAACAACAGGTCTGTGAGCCAATCAGAAGAGAGGAGGCTCTGAGCCTCTCTTCTGATTGGCTGACTGTTTTCTGACTGATCCAATAAAAATAAAGCAGATTTCAGGTAAAAACACTCAGAGCTCCAAACCCTGCTCGTCAAGGTTTGGATGGTGGGTCCAGGTGGGCGGGGCTTGGTGACTGCTTTGTTGTGACATCACAAAGTTCCAGAAGTCCTGACGGCTGGTTTTAAGGCTCAGTTTCTGAATACAGGCTGTGTGCATTTCTCTGTGGACTGAGGCTTTGATACTTTCACAGTATTAATATAGAAGCTAGAGCTGATCTATAATCACACTACACATGGACACAGACCTTTACACTGGAGGAGCTTTAACATTAGTGCTGAAACACCAGAGATCAGTCTTGAATTTAAAAGATCATTAACTGTAATCTGTTTTATTTTCCTTCTTTCTGTCACTGGTGTTTTTTATCCAAGACTTTCTGATGTAGAGAGAAACTCACTGTGAAGTTTCAGCTATTCGCTGCCAGAATAAGATTTCTGAGATAAAGCCCCAGGTGTGAGGAACGTGGGGCCGAAGCGAAGGATCGACTGGAATCAGGAAATATTTGGGAGTTTGTCTTGGCAGAGAACCGGTTCACAGGTTCAAATCCCACACGGGGGTTCTGAGTGAGTGAGAGCCGGAAAGGTGGGAGGAACGGGAGGATCTGCAGTCGGCTAAAGACTGAGCTCCACAGCTGGACAGGAAAACACATCAGGGCTGCTCAGGTTCAGGAAAGTGAGACGAGAAGAGGAGGAGGAGGAGGAGAAGAAGAGTTAAGAGTTTTTAAGGGTTAGAATCTAGACATTTGTTTCATTATGTTTTATAAGCGGATGTGTGAGAGGAGTGTGTCAGATGAAGGTTAAAAGGTTCTCCAGAAACACAAACCACAAAATCTAGATCCAAAGAAAAAGGTCTGAGGGTTCTGGAGTGGAGGAGGGTTTGAGAGCTGGAAATGATCTGTGTCAGGAAAACTTTATTCTGGGAAAAGTTTAATCTCAGGAGGATCAGGTTCTAGAGGAACAGGGTCTAGAGGGTTCAGACCAGGTTCTGATAATATAGGAAAGGCTCTGGAACCTGGTCTCTGGTGATTTTTTCCTTGTGTTTCCTTTGTGTGTGTGTGTGTGTGTGTGTGTGTGTGTGTGTGTGTGTCCTCTCACCTGTTTGGTCATGGAGTCTATCAGCCGAACATAGAGATCCTGTTCTGTCCTGATGCCTGAAACACACAAACACACAAACATCATCACATGACTGAAACACAGACACATACACACACACAGAATTACTGTTATAATTATCAGTGAGTGTGAGCAGACCTGCCTGAACATACATACATGCATTAGCCTGTTATGCTAATTTGAGCTCAGTATGCAAAAAGGGAAGGACACCCCCCCCCCACCCCCCGAAAAGACAAAAGAACTGATTCCTAATAATGTGTTGTAAATGAATTCTGTTATTATTTATGTCCCTGTAGTATATTTATGTTTCTGTAGCTCTTGTCGTGTCGTCCCGGCGACGCTAACCCCCCTCAGCAAAAACAAACATTAGCGCGGTTCCAGAGCTGTTTATTATTTATAGGCCAGGCCGCCTTTAACTGCCGCGCGCTCCTTCGCCCCCCCACCGCCTTTTTCCTCAAGGATAACAAGGAATCCTCGTTCCCCGACAAATTAAATATCAATCAGGATTGCTTGTCTTTTATTAGCTCTGCATCCAAGCAGAAATGTGACACGAGCACGACGTGGGGTGGAGGAAATTGCAGGGAACACCTGTTAGTGGTGGAGTAGCTCTAATTGTATGGGGGGGGGGGTTTCCTTCTTGTTTTTCGGGCCGTTTCCTCGCAGCTTCCTCTGCTTTCTAATTGACATGATTCACTCCTCGCTCTGCGGCGAGCGCTGAGCGGCCTGCAGACTAAATGGCGGCTATCCGTCCCGGTTGCAGATGAGGTCAATTACCTCCGTACGATGCTAATCCGACGACGCCGACCCATATTAGAGAGATTTATCCCCCTCTGGAAGAAAACGCTCTTTTATGTCCCACTTTATCTGGGGGTTCTGGGGGGGTCTGGGAGCATTACAGCCATCCTCCTCCTGCAGCTCTGGACTGGTGCCAGCACTAAGCCGAGCTGTGTGTTTTGAATCAGCCCCCCCACCCACCCCAATGGACAAACCAGAGTTCAGGTCTGGTTGTCAGATATTCCAGATGTGTCTCTCTCTCTCACTCTCTCTCTCCAGCCTCAATATTTAAACTGAGTCCAGTCAGACCTTTAATATGAATCTCTTTTCTACACTCTAAACTTCCAACCATCGTTACCTCATCAATCAATACTGCTCACCTGAGCTCCACCTGAACTGCACAACCACCACATTCAGCTTTAGCTTCATTCTGTCAGTCCTAATGTGTTTATTAAATTAGCAGATGTAAATATACAACTTCTAAAGCTCTGGAGTTTCCCCACAGACCAATTAATAATAATAATAATAATAATAATAATAATTAGCAGATTAATCAATAACAGAAATGACTGTTAGCTGCAGCTCTGCTCAGTTTTTTCCACAGTTCTCATCTGGGAGCACATTTTCCAGATGTGTCCTCAGGTTGTTTGTGCAGGAATGCTAGGCTAGGCTAACTGTAGCTACATGGCTTCTATCCAACTTTATGTCGAGGTTCTGACGCCGGCTCAACAAAATCCAGAATCAATCAGTTACAGTGACGTTATGTGACTCCTGTCCATTAGGAGCTGCTGTTTTCTTCATGATTGAATGTCTGGATTCTTTTTATAATTCTATTACATAATCAAATTTAGAATATTTGTTGACAACCGTCGTCCACATGAAAACTCAAAAACAGGCTGTCAAGGGCAAAACGAAGAGGCGAAGACAACAGCTGTAAAACTGTAGAGCCAATCAGTGAGTATTTGTACTGTGTGTTATCACAGTGATATTATCAGAAACATCCATCGACCTCAGAGGTTAAATCTCCGAGGACTGAACTTAGACCAGGACCCTCCAGGTCCTGAACCAAGTGTCTGAACATCATCCTTTAAAAAAGTGTTATATTGATAAAAACAGGCCAACATCATGTTCTCTGTAAAATGATCATCTGACATCGATGTCAGATTCTCAGGAGCTTTATTGTGGAAGGTCACAGTCCTGTTGGTATCCTGTAGAAATGACAGGAAGTCTCACCGTTGCTGTAGAGCAGCTGTAGCCTGTAGTGGATCCCGTTGTTGGTCTTCTCTCCGTTGTACTCCTGTCACACAGACACAGTCACACTTTACTCAACATGTGATGGAGGAGGAATAAAACATTTATCCAGCTGCACAGAGAACATCTGTATGAAGAACCTCAACTCATCACGTCGCTGGTTTACACATTAAAAGTCTGTATTTATTATTATTATATTATATTCAACTCAAACAACTTTGTCATCATCTCTTTTTCTTTTCCAGCTTTTCTCATGCGTGTTTTCATTGAAAATTAATAAAATAATAAAAAGGAAAAATTATCTTTAATTTCAATTTTGAAAAAAAAATTTGAAAAAATTATGAGAAGACAAGTTAAATGTTGTAAAAGTGCAATACTAAATAAGAGATAAGACGAATTTTAGTAATAATAATAATAATAATAATAATTCCTAGTAAATTAGTTTTGACATGAACAGGATTTTTTTCACCTTTCTCTCTAATTCTTTATTTTGAAATTCTCTCAGTCAGAGAAAAAAAAATATTATTATCATTATTATTATATTTGTGACATATTAACTATTAACTCACTTAATTTTGATTCAGTACCTTTTGATATTCAAATATATATTTTTAAAATATATTAAAAAAAATTCAGTCATTTTGTAAAAAAAATCTTTTTTCAGTTCAGTTTGTAACGTGGTTCTGATTATTATCATAATTATCATTATAATTATTATTATAGTTGTTGTTGCTGTTGTTATTTACTACTACACCTATGTCCGTCCCTCTCTCCTATCTGTCCACTCTGTCTCTATGTCACTGAAAAACCACTTTAAAAACACTTTTAATGAAGTGTGTTTAGTTCAGATTCTCTTCTTCCTGTCACTCAACTGTCAACTGCCCCGCCCACTGACGTGCAATCACCTTCAGGTAAACGTTAGGACGTCCCTCGTCTCTCTCAGTGAGCAGTAACCGTGGCGATAGGAGGAGCGACCACAGCCACCGAAAAGCAAAAGATCTGAATCTGCCCTTTATACTGTTTCCTGTGCTCGCTCTCTCTCTCTCTCCATCATCATCACTCATTTCTTTTCTCTCTCGACCTTTACTCCCCTCTTCATTTAATTCTTACCAACCTCTCTCTCTCTCTCTGTCGGTCGTTTGGTGCCAACTGAGCCTTGAAGTGTTGGCTCACTCCCAGTGTGTGCGTGCGTGCGTGCGTGCGTGCGTGCGTGCGTGCGTGTTGGGGGGTTACTGGGGCGAGAGACTAGAGGTCAAAGCAGAGGTGAGGTGAGTGAGTGGGTGGAGTAGAGGGTGGGGGGGGCTCGGTGCCAGCTGGCAGCTGATCACAGAACAAACTCCCTCAAACCTTCCTGGATGTTTTATTATGATCATTAATATTATTTATGTTATTATTATTATTATTATTATTATTATTATTATTATTATTATTATTGATATTATTAAAATTGTTAATATTATTGGAGGTAAAAGTTTTTACAAGCTGAAGATTCTTTCTCTCATAATAAAAATCCACATTACAGAAACAACAGTGTGTCGGTCTGTCTCTTAACTCTGTCCTCCTCTCAGCTCTGAGCGACAGATTATCATCTGATCTGGATCTGGATCTGGATCTGAATCTGAATCTGAATCTGAATCACAATCAGGATCAGGATCAGGATCAGGATCTGGATCTGGATCTGGATCTGAATCTGAAGAAGAAGAAATCGTCACCTTGTCTTTCTCCACAAAGTCGACGTAGGACGTCCTCTCGATCTCCACCGGCTGACCCTGGCGGTCGTACAGCGCCAGCACGAAGTGAAAGAAGTTGGACTTCCTCAGGTTGGATGGAGGCTGCTTCTCAAAGTGAGCTCGGGCTAAACCCACTCCACTGAAACACACAGACAGGAAGTGTTAATGTCACCTGGGGTTCAACATGGACGCTCAGCGGGCGGGACACTGACGGTCAAAGCCGATAACCAATCACATAATGAAACCTGATCAGGAAGGTGGTTTATTCTATTTGTTCATCTTTTAACCCCTTAATACATATTGTTCATATTTCTGCCTTCACAGTAAGAGCTCCCTCATGATAAGTGTCTATAGTGAATCTTGAACTACAGATCTATGTAGAAAGTATAAACAGCGTCTCTGACATTCACACATGGAGGATTAATCCTTCATTAATGTGTCGGAGCAGGGAGAGAGTATTCTTTAGCTTTTCATCACTGGATTTTGGAGAAAAACATCTACTATCACACAATATCATGTCCTGTTTAACCTAAGACATGAAAACATAACAGCCATAATGATTGAAATATATTTCATTGAAAGTGAAAATGACAAGAACATTCTGTAACTGTTGGGATTTATTATACAACCAGATCCAGATCAGATCCAGTCTGTCTGCTGCCAGAACCTCAGTCAGTGAAGTGGCAGCTCAGGTTCCTTTATAATCTCCTGTCGAGGCGCCCTCTGACCTCTGTGTGACCTCTGTTCCTTATGTGCACCATATATGATCACTCCTATGCTGTTTGACTCTGTCACTGTTTCCAGATCCCCCATGACCCTTCAGAGACCAGCAGGTGCCTGTCTCTGGGGGAACCTGGGCAGATGTGGCGGGAACACAGACAGTTGTGGTGACAGTGTCGAGGTCCCCCTTGAACTCTGTCACCACTGTCCCATAACAAATACACACAGACAGAGCATGTACAGTTTCACAGTTTCAAGATCCCCTAAAACCTCCATGTTCCTTCATCTGACGCACAGATCTAATATCTGTGGATCTACAATCCACTTCAATAGATACGGCTCAGACATTCACAGCTCCTGTACAAAAGTACAACATTTTATAATATTTTAAACATTTTTGTGTATTTTGGGTTAATTAAGAAAAGTCATCAACTTTCAGGCTAAAAGACATTTATTTATTTATATCGTATTTTTACTGCTGTCAAATGTCAGAACGGGTCAAATTTGACCTGAACAGCTTGTAAAGGGTTGAAACTAATTTCAGACTTTTTCCTTTAAACATCTGAACTGACAAACTAACCACATTTTTATAGTAAAAATGTTCAACAGGCAAAGAAACGACCAGCAGCATCAAACTGAGTCACGTTAAACAGGAAACAGGAAGTAAAGTGATTCTGGTCCTCAGGGCTTCATGTTCATCGTTTAATTTGGACATAAATTATCAATGAAAAAATATTTCCTATGCAGACAATACAACTTTATTCTGTTGTAAATTTGAAATGACTTTTTGACACTATAGAAAAAATTAAATCTCCTGAAGACTAAAACTTTTCACCTAAAAAATATATAATAAATGAAAGTGTCTGACAATACAATAACAAAAAATGTATCTAAATACATGTAAATTATATCAAAGCAATAACTAAATAAATTTCAATATATTTTCTTTCTCTCTGTGTAAAAAAATTAAAATTAAATTAATTAAATTAATGGGGAAATAATACAATTAATACAAGTGAACTTCAAAAAGTCGGAAGGGCCATGAACAGAACTCCTCACCAACAACCAAAGAGCCATCTGTTCCAATTAATTCAATGGATTTTTGTACCAATTCAATTTAAAAAAGGTAGAAAATGGATTGATTATTGTTGATTATCGTCAGTCAGAGGTCAGCCCACTGTTGATGTGATGATATTTACTGAACATGAGAAATATGAACAGCCTTTAACTGAGTGCGAACGGAGAATCATCAGTGAGACTCAGTCGGCTGCTGGTTTTAGTAACAGTGGATAAAAATCCATGTTGATCCTGAAATAAAATCGATGCTCCTGCAGGAAGCGACCTCTGCTCTCAGCCCGGAGAAGCTCCAAGAGTCCGGGGGGGAAACACTCAAAACAACAGCCGAATATTTTTACATCAATCTCATTTCCCTGCTCGTTTTGTTTCCTAAAACGCTTTATGATCAATATGATCGCTGGGGCGCAGACAAATATTTATTCATGCTCAGGGTTTGTTTTTGGAAACTCGCCCGCTCTCTCTCGGCCTCCGTGTTTCCCGGCTCTGGGGTGTTTTCCCCAGACGGCAGATTAATACAGCCGTGACCTTTCTGCACCACCATTACCAATGCTTAATGCCTCATTTGTAGGCCGCTTTGTTGAAAGCTAATTCTTCCGACTCGCAGCGTTTGGCCGAGTGGACGCTGGAGTCGAGAGTCTGAGGGGGAGGAGGAGGAGGGGGAGGCAGCTCAGGTGTGTGGGTCAGGTTAGAATGACAGCAGCTGAGTGTGTTAACACAACAACAACAAAACGCAGCACTTCAAAACTCACTCAATGATATTTCCACCTGTGAGAAAAAAACATCCAGAAGCATCTGTTTTTATACGTGCTGCTATTTTCATACACCTGTCCAACGACATCACAGGTGGAGGATCCTTCACCTGCAGCTCCAGACAACCAGCAACTACAACACTGACAACACTGCACTGTTTTATATTATACGGTATAAATTATTCATTTAGTCGATCAGAAGAAAATTTATCTGAAACTACTTGATGGATTTTCCTCTTTTTTCAACCTGTTTCCTGGATTTTATGTTTTTGTTAATATGATGTTTGGATTCCTGGACTGTACAGATCACAGATCAAACAATCAATCAACTAATCAAGACAATAGTCAGCACATTATCAATAATTAGAATAACTCTCAGCTGCAGCTCTAACATGTTAAAAATACGCAACTCGTTTTTTTCAACCCTCTGATTCGACCCACAGCAGTGTCTCCTGAGACAGCGCCCCCTATAGGCGGCATGCCTGCCGGACCTCAGTTGTCATGGTTACCATAATAATCACGCAACTACACCGAGAGCAGCGTACAGAACGTCGCCGTGGTTACTATAATAACAGTCATGGCTTGGTTGGGTTTAGGAGAAGATGGTGGTCAGGGTTCTTCCTCAACATCAGATGATCTCTGTCGTCATGGTTACAACATAAACAGCTGGTTTCACATGGGAATCGAACGCACCGCTCTCCCATGTCACATTCATCCATCCACCACCACCTCCCATGTCGACTCTGTCTCTCTTTATACTACGTCACCAACACTCCCTTTGGTCCTGTCATCATTACTACGACCACTAGATGTTGCCTAGCAACAAAACGTTACTACGGTTCTGACTGACACTTCCTCCACCAACAGGTGTAAACAGGCTTTTTAAACGCAGGTTAACCTGTTAGACAGAGACACAGACAGACACAGAGACAGCCTCTTCTAGGGATGGTACAGAAACCCGGTACTGAACGGGGCTGTCTGTAGACCGGAGTACTGATAAGCTCCGACATTATCAGTTCTGCTTTAAGAAATTAAGAAAATTGATTTCCTGTGTATTATTGTGAAATAAACGTTTTCCCGCACATTTTAACTCAACAACTCTGTTTCTGATTCAGACATGTGTCTATGAATGAAGCATTTTCACTGTTCCTAATCTAATCCTCCTAACTCTCTCTCTCTTAATGTTTATCAAGCGCACGAGAAAATAAACATGTTAATTCTCTTCTTACAAAATGACAAGAAGTACCGATAAGAGAACCGTTAAAGAGTCGGATCGATACATGGTGTCGATTAAAGTGGTAGTACCGTTAAAATCTTAACGATAACGATCTCTAGTCTGATCATGTGGAGACAAGGACGATGTCCTCAGGTTTGCCAGCGTTTGGCACCTGTTTCATCCTGAACGCCATCAAAGCATCACTTCCACCACTAAACCAGCCCATTATCCCAATTACACACAACGCTCTGCAGCCGATCGCCACGGTGACGCTGCCGCTCATCCTCTCCTCTCTGCTCTGCCTCCACTCAGAAAGCTCGTTAGCATTATTATTATTTCAATTATGCTAATTGCGACTGCATCCACTCACATCCGGCTGTTAGCACTTGGCACAAGGTGTAATAAAAACAGTATCGATGGCACACGGCTCGCTCCAACATGCCCAGAGTGTAAATCACACACCAGCAGCCAGAGAGGTTAAAAATAACACACACACACACACACACACACACACACACACACACACACACACACACACACACAGAACAAACATGGCGAGGCAAACGAGGGCCGCGGCTGCACGTTTCCACCACAAAACCTGAAATTAAAGGTCAGCGGGAGTCATGTAGAGCTCTGCAAACAATTACTGAGCAAGACACACACACACACACACACACACACACACACACACACACACACACACACACACACACACACTGAATAAATTCTCTGCCTGAATATTGCAGTAAAAGCTGAGGTTCATCTTCTCTCCTCTGGGACTGAGGCAGGATCAGATCAACCAGTGCTCCCAGTACAGAGCCCAGTGGTTCTACTGGTTCTACTCCTTCCAGCTGTTTGTACAGACTCTGTTCAAAACACCTGAACTTTACTTTTAATAGTTAATTATTAATAATTGAATAGCGGAGATCCTGAAGTTGATGCAGCATCGTGGAGGAGGTTTGAGTGTGAGACTGTGAGAGATGATGGGTGATCTTTCTGTCTGTGTTTGAGGAAACCCAGGTGTTCACTCATTCACTCACCACCTGAACCGGAGCAGAGCAAACCAAGCAGGAAGCAGCACCCTAAACAGGATAACTTATCAATAACCTCATTGATCTATGGACACTGTTCTGACCAATCACAGCCTCTTATCTGCTTGAACACTGTGCTCCTCCATCTCTGACCAGACCTGCAACAACAGCCTGTAACTTCAGTTCCTGCTGAGGCTTCACAGTGTGGAGACTAAATAAAGGATCAATAACGTGAACAGCATCACAAAGGTGAGTCTGTTCACCTGGACGGGTCAGATCGTCACTGTCTCCCTCTGAACTTTACACTTTCCTATGAAGACAAACATCCACAATAAAAAAAACTTTA